TTCGACCCGCCTCGAGTGCATGAGGGTGATCACCTGGCAAATGCAAAGCATGTTTGGTGTTGTCCGCCCGGGATTTCGGATTCGCCACAGGTGGTTTTGTCTCAAAATGTCAAAATGGGGTCGGTTCTCGATGGTGGCCTTTGAGCCAACTCCCAGGCGCTGCTCTAAACGACATGCGCCCATCAACCATCATTTTGAGCCACACCTTGTGAGGGACTCCAGTTTCAAGGTCCCAATGCACTGCATGGGTTCATCATTTTGTCAAGGCATGTTTCCTTTCAGCTTCCATGCTACTGCAAACCTCGTCCATGGCCCATAATTTGTTGCGCATGAAACTCCCTTGTGATATCAAAGCGGGTGATTCCACATGCTTGTCACCGTCAAGCCCGGCCAGATGGGTCAAGCCCGGATATGTAAACAACCCCACGCGAAACTGCAAGCAGTCGCTAATCAGCTTTGGAAAACAAAATGCGGTAAATGATTCAGAGAACGATATGTTGATCTACTCTGCCTGCTCGTGCTGGTCCTTCTGGCGCATGGCGAAGTCTTGGAACCTCGGTTGCAACCTGACCTCCTGACCTGGGAAAGTGGGCATGGTGTCGGAGCTCTGAGCCGTGCCTCTACGAGAAACGGACCGGCCACTTGCAACTGGCCGTGTTAACAACGACTTTGACGACCCCTTCAAAAAAAACAAAGAACCAAACATGGTCTCCTTGGGTGTTCACTTGAGACAAGGCCAAAGCACTTGGGCACTTGGCCGCGTGCAATTCCTCGCAGTGCCTACCACTCTTTGCACTCATTTTCAGGCGGGCTCCTCGCATGCTTTAGATGTAAGCCCGACTGGACTGCCAGCTTTAGCCCAGCATCTTTGACGCTTGGCCACGCATGCACACAAAAAAAGGTTCGCTATTCCAAGAAGTGATCACAAGGAAACCGTCGGAATATCCCAAAGCTAATGAGCAATGGACCACATGTCGCCCAGTGACAGAGTGAGAGGTCGTTACAGTTTGCCCAAAATTGCAAGGGAAACAGTTGTTACAACAGCTGCCTGGTCTTACTGGCCGATGCATAACCAGCCTCTGGTCGAGGTGTCGGCAAATAAGAAAGCCCAAGCCGCTGCTCCATAAGCCAATCCATCTTCTTCTCCAGGGACTTCAAGGCCGCTGAGCCAGGTCCCCTTGAAATGGGCTCCTGCCACCGGAAATCGGGTCGTTTTGACCAGCTGAGAGTCTGAGAGCAAGCTAATCTGACAAAACCCTCCACAAGGTCGAGGAGCTTTTCAACGTTATTAACCGTACTTGAAGTTCGCTTTTCCAGCCCGGGCCCTCAAACTTTTCAGGCTGAGGGAGAACGTTTAGCCCTGCACCCATACAAACATGCACCAGCGGCCTCCGCTGCCCCCTTGCGACAAAGGGGTGGCTGACAGGAGTTGTTGCCCACGAAAACCTGAACATGACGCAAAAAAACAGCTTGCTGGTTCCCCCGATGATCAGGAAAGGCGAGTGGCAGGAAAAAGGGAGCTATGGCAAGATCCCTGTCTGCATATGGTTTTCCAGCTCCCAATCATTTCACGCACGTTCAAGAAGAAAGGACGGAGCAAACCAGGAAACGCATGGAACCTTGGCGAAAGTCTGATGGTGACTGAGAACAATCAACAAAAGAAGCGGAAGCATCGCTAAAGCCAGCGAGCCAACGAGGAAGCAAGCAAGCAGCCTCAACCGCAACCGGCTACGCATACGTACATATGCGTGCACACACACACACACATATATATATATATACATGGTGTTTGATCAAAATTCCTGCTTCCGAAGAAACATATCTTTTGCAAATCTTTCGCGACTCCATCACCACGCCCTTTTGTTTGCAGCGTGCGCTGGAGCCATCGTTGCGCTGCAGTTGTGCAGTTCACTTGCATTGGCAGGCTTGCAGCGACATAAAGTCAAAGCAGCCACTATCACTTGTGCTTGCTGCGGCTGCTGCAACAAGCCACGGGCTTCGCCGTCTTTCGTCCAAATCGCTCAGCCAATGTTTTGGGAATCAAGGACGCAAGTAAGTGGTGCTGCGCATCTCCCTCTCTAAAAGGGTGTGGGGTCTGCAAGCATGCAAGCATGCAAGCCTGCCTCGAAGAAGCTTTCGCTAAACTTTCCGCGCAAAACAACAACTCTCGCAGCCTGCTTCGCGGATCTTTCGTGGCCACAAAAGCTTGCAGCGATGGGCCTCCACGGCATAAGTCCTTACCGTGATCTATTGATCAACTCCGATACTGTACATATACATATACGCACACACACACACATATATATATATATATATATACTCACATACATATACGTATATGCATAAATCCATGCCTTTCACTTCTTCGTGGGAAACTTAGAAGCCACTTTGCACCGACACTTGGACGACAATGCAGGAAAGGTGGTTCCAAACTCGCTCAGGGTAGGCCGCGAATCCCCAAACAGTGGCCGGTGGACACGAACTCCCGCCCAGATTGGTGTCCATGAAAGGGTTGCTTGAAATTCATGCGCAGCACATCGCAACTTTCAGCCTCCTGTGGGGCATCGTCCATTGCTAGAACATGAGGCGCTGTGCTAAACCCGGCCATCTGCGTGGACTACATCCACCCACTACAGCCGAAAGGCGATCAAAAGATGCGGATCCACGTATGCAAAGGACTGCGTCAGGATTTTCACAGGGCGCAGGAGAACTGGGAAGCGTGCCTGCGTCGATGGTTACATTTGGGGAAAAGATTGACAAAGAATGGAGCAAGAAAACAAACCTGGTTTGAGATTTATACGGCTGAATGATACAAGTGGCCAACATGAAAACTTCAGCTTGCACAAGTTGCTGCGAACCCAATAAGGCAGTGCCTCGCGCGAACGATGGGTAGCAAAGCTGTGTTCAAGTAGAAGGAACCCGCCAAATCCAAACCCGCTGGCCATCACAAATCTCGCATCCAATGGTGCGGGGGCGATGCGCATGTGGAAGGAACCAAACGATCTCGTGGTTTTTTGTCAACAAAGGCGATTGAAAGGCGCCAACATGTCAACGTGTACCCCAAACGCATCCTTGGAAGGCCTGAGGCACCACCCCGCTGCACCCGAAAAGCAAGTCTACCCCAAAAGCATGTCCGGAGCAAACGGGGCAGCTGTCTTTCTCATTGGGACTTATAAAACTGCAGACCGGATGTTGATTCGTGACCAAAATCCGGGTGTGAGGCAAGTCGACCGTTTCGGGTTGAACTACGTCCCACTAGGTCCGTGGCGGATTTGTGGCCCTCGTGGCCCTGGCCTCCGAGAGAGTGAAACCAAAACCCAGTTGAAATCAACTCCCTACATGCGCCCTAACAAAGTCTAAACCAGTAGATTTCGTCGACCAAATTTCTGGACACTCCAGAACCAATACTAGTATACAGTTCAGGACAACCGCCATAATTGTTACACAAATGATGGAACTGTCTTTTGAGCGACTTTTGGGCCCTGCACGCGCCGCACATGCGCACGCACACGCACATCACACCCACAACCCCACAACCCCACACGCACGCGCACCTGCACCGCAGCCGCACACCCATACGTCACTAGCCCTGCCCTTTCGCATCTCTTCCGTGCAGAAGCTCGTGCCATGTTAGCCTGGAATTCGGAATGCTATTCCAAGTATACATGAATTTGAGGACAATGCCCAAATGATCATGCTGAGTAAGCGCAGGATGCATGTGCCATGGTTGAAACCCTGCATATGACTGGCGATGGCCTGACCAAGAAGAGTACTACAATGATTCAATGATGCCTGTGAAACCAAATTGAGGATTCTTTCGTGGATGTCCACCGAGGGTGTTCCCTGAGACCACGCTTCCGGGCCTGCGCCTCTGCGATCGCTCTCGACCATGATTGAGAAGGCTCTGGCGGCAAAACGTAAAAAACGCTCTCCATACCCCTGCTAACCTTCATCTACCCAGGTTTTGACCGCGGCCGAGCTGAACATTTGCCACTAGCTGCGCAGCCGGCCACTTTGCGAAGGCCCAGTAAGGCGCGGCGCCGCCGTTTGCCCGACATTGGCTTTGGGCCATGCAGGAGCAGTGCGGGCGCTTGTGGCACAGTGGAGCCAACTGCTAACATGATTTCCACAACCCCCGAACTGCTTGCCCCAGAGGAGAATGGGTATATATATATATATATATCCCGGCCAGAATGGTTAAAGCAAGTAGCTAAGAGCTCTACGGGTAGTGGAAACGATCTTGAATATAAAGCAAACACATTACAGCGAAAAGGTACGGACCGCGGGGTAACATCCTGGGCAGTTCCCTGAAATGATGAAGCCTTTCTAGATCCCAATGTTGTGTCATGAGCCTTGGATGTGCAACCATCCCAAACCTGAAGCGGGCATTTCTCTAACATGGATGGTGCGCTCCGCCCAGTTGCCTGTGGCTGGCCTCTCCACAACTGCAAGCCGAATAAGGGCCGGACATTGCCTGCGCGCATCTTCGCACAATATCATAAGCAAACAATCGAACGCTGAAATGAATCGAACGCCGAGGCCCAGCTTTGGAAAGCGAACAGTTGCTGCCACGTGTGCTGTTTGAGAGCCCTCATGGAGGAAGGAGCTGCAGTCCTGAAATTCTATCCAAAAAGCTGCCTAGGATTCCATGTCATGCTAGCTGCTCAAAGAATCACTTCATCCTCCCACCGGAAAAAGGGGAAGACTTCTTTGGGCACCAGTGGGCCAATGAATGAACATGGTCGGATTTGGGGAGAATATCGCGATGATTATGACCAAAGTTCTTCGGGGGGTCTGTGCGGCTCATTTCTGGACACATCATTACCATCCCCTACCTGGGAATGTGTCAAAGCAAGGAGCCTTGCGAAAATGGTGGTTTTACTCGCCATCTCCATTTAAAAGCACTCCAACCAGCGTACCCACCAACACTAAAGGTGGCATGCCTGACCATGTCTTTCGCCTTACCCAATCAAAGAGACCAACGCCGCAAGCGCCACGGCTCAGGGCTCCTCCCCCTTGGCAATGCCGCTCCGGTTGGCCATGACCACCAGCAACTGCAGGGTCTCCACCTTGCGCGTGGCGCGCAAACGTCCAGCGACATCTGCACCCGCAGCGGTGCCAGCGGCAGTGCCAATAATTGCACCAACAAATGGCAAACACTTGCCAAATCTAAAACTGGTTTAGCGTCTTCGAGCATAGAAGAAGACTCAGCAACTACACTACTTTGGCCAAACATCGGCCGTTGCAGCGGCAGCTTGTCCCAAGACGAGCAAACTACAAGAGCACACAGGCAAGTTTTGAGCGAAACGTCCTTCTTCCCGCAGGATTGCATTGCTTAAACGAAAAAGAGGCCGACCACTGCTGAATCCGATCTTTGACGAGGCTGTAATGTGAAACAAATGGAATCCCACTGCAAGGCTAAGCGGATGGAAACGCAACGGTTCCTGTTATACTGCATGGCAACTGAAAGAACACAGCCACTCCCTTAGGTTGGACTACCAACATAACTTGTCACGTGCGATGTTCTCTTCCATGGCTCACTCCCCTCCCCCAACTCCACAAAGCTCACGACACGTCGCTAAAGCTGCGGGCTGCCAAATGCGCGCCAGGTCGCAAGCTCTGCACTGTACATCGCCAGCGGTCCGAACTTGACCACCTGAAAGCGTCGCCTAGTGACCCCTCAATGAGGTGTGGGTTCCAAGCTCAAACATGGGGATGCTGCGATGCTCATGTAGCGGAAGACTGAACCAAATCAGTTTTGTCCGTGCCCTTCATGCTTGAGAACCAAGAATGCCAGGATGGAAAGATATGGAAACATTAAACAGGCGCCAAAGCATGCATATGGGCAATGTGCAGCAGCAGCATGTAATGCATGTGGAAAGCCAGTCCAGGACGAGTGCACCCATCAAAGTCTGTCCCACCCTGATTTTCCCAGAATTTCCCAGAATTCTGACGGGTAAGCATGGAAAGTCACGGCTCATATCTTTGCCCACAACCTTGCCAACTTCAAACAAGACCTCTTCAAGGCCAGCTTTCGGAAAAAAGCCTTATGGAAATGCACGACTACTTTGCGATCGGCAACTGCTAAAGCAAGGGACCAATTTTCTAACGAATGAAAAAGCACCTTAATTAACCAGAATGACCAGCCCTGAAAAGCATTTTCAAATGAGCCCGCAGTTCAAATTCTGCACTCAGCGTCGCAATCTGCAGAACAAAAGCACAAGCGCTTTCGAAAGGGACGTAACCCAACTCAGCCGGCGCATGATAAGCACCACAAGAGCGGTTTCCCAAAACAGTTGATGTCCACCTGTTTCCCATTTCAAACCGGCCAAAGCGGGATCACCCGAAAGAGGATCACATCCATCCATGCAAAACAGGACGCGGCTTCGCGAGAGCAGGGGCGGATTTTGCGCCTTGTGCAGCACCTTCACGGTGCTCTTGGTCACGGAACCCACCACCGGCAGCCAGCCTCCGTTGCTCTTGCTGCGTTCCCCGGATCGCTGCAGGCGACATGGGGTCCACGAAACGGAAAGCATTCAGACATTGCAAGGGCCTATGCGGTCTGAAAGTTACGTTTTGCCTTCAGTTGCTACATGCACACCACACACCCGGGCCAACCACTTTGTGTCAACATGTTTTATTTTTTGTTCTGATCAAACATCTTTGTCAAGCTTCCCACTTGCTCTTGGCTAGGCAGAAAATGGATACTACCCGATTTCCTTACATTATCATTGAGGGCAACCATCCTCCACAAAGTGTAGGAACAACCGTGGCCATGGCTCTAGAAGGCTCCTTTCAAACCCTTCCTGCTGTGGGGGGTTGAGCCTAAGCTTTTCCGCAGTTCGGAACGGAGCTACAAACAGGGCCAAATCCTTTCGTAACCCCTTGACAGCCTTTGAACAACCCTTTGAACAACCCTTGGAACAGCCTTGCTTGGCTAAGCGGTTAAGGATCTTGCGGATCACTCCGCTTTAAACTCCAATTAGAAACCCCTAGGCCCCTAGACAGCAAATAGGTGGGTGGGGATTGACGTCCTCCCACTTTTGAGGGGTTCCAACCCTCATTCCCCGACAAATGTGTGTACATGGGACCCAACACGACCCTTTTTTGGAGCTTTCGCCTCCCTCCGCGCATCGCCGCCGCACCCCGCCTATGATCTCGGCGGCGCCACCCAGCGCCAGCGCACCCAGTCGGTGGGCCTTCTCCACCCTTGGAGGGAGCCCCATGGCGGGTTGCCTCTTGTCCTATATAAAAGGAGACCACCCAAAAACGGTTAACAAGGAAACGGTCTCAGAACACAAAACAAGCACCACCGGAAACCAAAAAAAACAGAAAACAAAACTGGATGAAAAAGAAAGTACCGCAAATGAAAAGGGGCTGCAGTACCACCAAGAAGGGTGCCAGCATGGTTGAAGCCAAGCCCAAACATGTGCCAGCAAAAAAGACTGGATGGCCCAGCTCACCCCGTTCAACTACCCAAGGCTATGGCAGCTTGCACCCAAATTGAACTCCTCTTTCCCGCCGAGTTGAAAGACATGATGCGCAAAAAAAGTCGAGACATGAGCTCAAACGGGTGAGCTCTTGGTACGATTTGGCCTAGGAAATGTGCCTATTTATATGTATATTATATGTATATATGTATGTGCGAATGGACCACTTGTGTTGCACATTCGCTGGCTGCCCATGCAACATGCCAGAGCCACAAAGCAAACCCCCGCAAAGGTAGATTCAAAGTAAACTTCTCAAGCCCCTGGTCTGGAAACGGACTCGCACCAAACATGCACAGACTCGACCCAACATGACCCAACCCATGTGTCCAACCTCCGCTTTTGAGGGGCAAGAAGCCCCCAGAAAAATGCCACCCAGCCGTGGGAAAAAGGGCACCCATGCTTTGGGGATTTGATTGGCAGCCACCAACCACCCGTAAAACAAAACCAAGGCGTACCCCAAGTTATTCCCAAGAGCCGCCAAACTTTATGTCCGCTTCGGAGGCAAGCTGGCTGGGCCACCCTACACCGACTCTGATGGCTCCTCATGCTTCGGCGGCGGCTCACCTTCACGGGCAAGCAATCGCGGCAAGCCACTTGGGAAAGGATCCTGGTGCCTTTGAGTCGAAGTTGGGGCCTTGCCACTGGCAATCAACATCAAGCCATAATGTTAATCCTGTCAGGCACCCCCTTCAACACAACTAAATTTGCGAGAACTCCGGAACTCCTATTCTCTATTCTCTGGTGGAATTCCCCTGGCGACATGATTGGACCCATTTGCCCTTGCAAAGCATCCCCTCAACATCACAGGTTTTACCATGTCCCCCGTTTGACCCGTGATAAATCCGAGTTCGTGATTGCCCTTCACCGCTTCCCTGAGAACAAAACGCACAAACGGAACACAAATCCTATTGACATGTGGGATGCAACCATGTTGTGCATGTTGTGCATGTTGTGCATGTTGCTGGTGCCAAGTTGGTGACGCATAACCTTAAACCCGCCTCTCTGCAATTACTCTGGCTCAGCCTCATGGAAAAGACTGACGCCGCTTGGGCAACACCTAGCTGGGTTTATCAAAGTGCCAACCCGGAATGTACCCCGATGACCCCCCATATCCAGAAGCTCTCATGACGAATCCATCAGTGACCCTAGTGATCACAGTGACCCGGAAACCAAAGAAGAACAAGGGCCGCCAGGCTCGAAATCGCCCGCGATGTTTGCCTGCAAAGAAGGAGTCCACGGCGAGATGCTGCTGCTTCACGGCGATGACAAGCTGGCGGGATGGGAAACATACGTGTCGCGGAAGCCCTTGAAAGTGACGCATTTAAGAACGTCGAGATGGTGCTGCCTTCAAACAGGTGAATCCTAAAAAGGAAAAAAGTCTCTTTGAATAAGCAAGACTCCAGAACGGGTACCAACTTCAAGAAGAACTCGCACACACAAAACAGCATGCACTGTCTAACTTGAAGCCACGTGTGCAGCAGCATGCTGTGACCGGAAAGCTGGTCGGTGAGGAAACGCACGGTAACGACATGGGCTATCCGATCATCAGAACTCCCATGCTGTGCCTGACGGGCTTAAAGAAACTCATGTATTTTCATGTGTTTTTCTCTTGGCACCCTCGGAGAGATGCTTGTCTTGCACCGGAGGGTAGGCAATCTGAGTTGGTGGACATGCCCAACAGACCCAACGAGGCTCAAATGTGTGGCCCAAGACAATGAGAGCATCAAGAGACCCAAACATGGATTTATTTCACAGGTCAGCTTTTGGGCAAGGGGGTCATCATGGTCACGCGCTGATTAAGAAACTTGAAGTCCGGATTTGGAAACTCGGCGCGGGGCTTCGGGACCTTGGATTCGGAAACTTGGAGCACTGGCAAAGAACCTAGAATAGGCATGCTTTGCGCGCAGTTGAGCGGCTGTGTTTCTGATCTGGGTGGCGGGTGTGCTGGAGCTTGCAGTTGAACGGGCTGAATGCGATCAGGACACACCATTTCCAATTCGGGGCCACCAAGTTTCTTAATCTCTCAAGTGTCTGAATCGGGGCCGCAAGATTCCTAAGCCAAGACCCAAGTTTCTGAATCGGAGCTTCTAAATCGAAGATCCTGAATCGGAGCCTCAAGATTCTGAAGCAAAGTTTCTGCAATGTTCGGACCCATGAAGGCCATGGCATGACCCCCCTGCCTCATCGCGCTCAGGCTCCTTACGGCCAAATCGGACTTGGGAAAGGGTTCGCGCTTGCCTGATTGAAAGCGAGAATAGATTCCACAGGCAAACAAAAGGCAGCAAAGTCTGCCAAAGCCGAACTAAGGCAATTGCAAGGTAACCTGATTAAATTCATGCCCTGGCCCTTTCTGGCTGCCTGCACCATCGATCGGCCATTCCATAGGAAGCCGGGATCATTTCAGGGCTTCCAGTGACTTGAGGTACTGACTTCTGTGAACAGCACGTGTACTGCAACCTTTGCGGCCAAGAGTCGGTGAGGCAGCTGAAGCATCGCTTTGTTCCCGTCTTGCCCGCCATTTCGCCTGTCAGCAAGCCAACACCCGTGCTCTCACAATCATTGACCTGTCACAACCTGAAAGTTGACCAAGTCTGAGCCGTACTCACATATCCATCTGGTCGTGGTCATTTCGTCCGGGCTCACATTGAACACCCATGGCTGAGGACCAAGGAAGCCTGGTAGCAACTTTGCCACGGCACCGAGCCCATTCTTCTGCTGCCTTCTTAGGTGCCGCGTCAAAACAAGGAAAGCAGCAAACCCCCCACCCAAGGACATACAAACCGGGGCTGGAAAGGCAATTTCCCTCAGGAACCTTCTGTCAACTTCCCTGTTTGGAGTAAGGTTCCTTTCCCAATGGTTGACACCTATTTCTCAAGGAATTCTCACTTAGCACCTACATCGCCGCAGGCACCGCCGTCACCGCCACGGGTACTTTGACCGCAAACCTCAGGATCACTTGCGACCCACATGCTTGGCGACAAACAGACGTGAGAGGCCGGTGAACGAATAGCAGCCTCAATTTAGCACCCCAAAAGTCATTCAGACCCGAACTTGGACCAGGTCCTAATGAACAAGATTCCTTCGCCGCATACATGTCCTACCTCGACGCAAGCCATTAATTGGTCTCAGCGAAATCCAAACAACACCCTAAGTTCCTTCACCCAAACAGAAATGGCAAGGCTTTTACGCTGATGGGTGGGGTAGTTACGCCTGTTTTTTGGGGCGAAGCCCTGAGGAAACCGTTGAGAAGACAAATGCGCCACTGCAAAGGTGCACCCGCCCAGATACCATAGCTTTTCGCTAGAGTGCAGGTATGTCGAAGGGTTCCACATTGGCATGCTCATCTGCAACGCCGGGACTTGTGAGGACAAACTGGCCATTTGAATTATGGCATGCACGCTAAGCGGGAAGTAGATGAAAGCTGTATCCAGTATTAAATCGGCTTTCGTCAATGGCGCGGTGTATACTGCTTGCTGGTTGGTTGAATTTGTGGATTCACGCGGAACCCAACGACACGCTATGGGCCGATTTCAACTGAGCTCACGTTTCGTCACTTGTCAAGACCGCATCCCTAGGGCGTGGACGGGTTGCAGCCCTCAGACTTGTCCACCTGTCAAAGGATTTTTGCCCAAAACACCTGAGGCACAAACTTTCTGAAACCATGAAAGGTAAAAAGGGATCCTGCGCTGACGGCATAGAACTTATACAGCGTCAGCTTTCAAGCGCAAGGGTTCAAAGAACAAGGGAAGCTGTTTATCTAACGTTTCTGCTTTGATGGGCAGGGCCACAAGCCAATGAAGCTGAGTGGCGGAGCAGGGCGCCGGGGGCGCTGTCGAAAGAGATACCACAGAGCCTGCCGGGAGCTCCGAAAGTCCCATTTGGCTTTTGACGCGCTGGTGCTAGCCATTCGGGCTTTTCACTGGAGAACCAACAACGTGAACACTGCGTCGTCCATCATTTTGAGTCTATCTACAGGTGGCACAAGCAGTTTCGGGCGATTGGGCGTAAGGAGCCTGCCGATGGCTACAGGCGCGTCTTGAAAGAGGGTGGCCTGAATTGCATATGATCATTTTGAGTGGGGAATCCACTTATGTTGGACCCTCTTTACACCACCCCCACCCTCGCTAGGAGTGGAAACAGTCAGCTGGACCCTCTTTAGGCAAAATCCTGAAGGTCTGGGAGGGACACTACTTACTTTAGCATTGCCAATTGTGCTTTAGTATTGTCAAGGCCGACTCTCAGATTCCCAGCGCTTACTTTAGCATTGCCAGTTCTACTTTAGTATTGCCAGGGCTGACTCTTAGATACTTACGCTAGTATGCCAATTCGACTTTAGTATTGCCAAGGCTGACTCTCAGAATCCCCGGTACTTACTGTAGTATTGCCAATTCTACTTTAGTATTGCCAAGGCTGACTCTCAGATTCCCAGTACTTACGTTAGTATTGCCAATTCTATATTAGTATTGCCAAGGACCGTTGATTTTTGTAACCCCCAAAAGGTTAGACACTAAAGAGGACCCCAAAACAGTTGCATTAACAAGGATCAGGGCCCCTTTTGGGCAACCCTTTGTGACTGTTTGCGCATTTTTTGGTAAGGAAGTTGCCTTAATTTGATGGTTTGGGGACCACTTCAAACAACCCTTATGTTTGCCCGGATTTGTTTGCCTGTTTTTTTTTGCTCGACTTATTTGCCAAGTTTGTTTGGCCCAGATTTTTTTGGAGGCGTAGTCCAGCCTGAGCCAGACAAGATCAGGAGAGTAACAGACCATACATATTTTTAGTTGTTTTTTCTGGGGGATCGATTTTGCTGCAATTGAGGACCCCAAAATAGTCACAAGATCCTGAATTGCGGGAAAAAAACGCATGCTATCATAGAGGGTGCTATTTTGTGCAACACTAAACAGAAGGGTAGTAGGCTGACGAAAAAGCTGGACAATTCACCAAAATTAAGGAATCCCTGGAATTCTTTCTTGGGCATTCAGGCAGCCGTGGACACAAACCAGGGGATTGCACTGGTGACCGCGGACGGACTCCTAGTCATCAATCCATGCAAGATCACAACAGAAAGCTCTCACTGCTTCTGGGCTCGAGGCATTCTGAAGGGCTTAGGTCAGCCAGGTCATTGTGCAAGCCAGGATTTCCACCACCACCAGTCTGAACACCGCGCTATTGTCTGTATGTGTTTTCAAAAACGGGGCCCAGCATTGCTTTTGCCCAGGCCTCCCGTAGCTCCGGTACCGCAAAACTCGCCGGAGGTCAAAAGCGGGCCCTGCCTCGCGCATGCTCCACGGCATCCGAGGCCACCGCCTCAGGAAGGCACTGTGCAACCTGTCAACCAAAAGGTCAAAAGGTGGGATCAGGGGGCAAACGGTGGTGGAAAACCGTGGAAGAGTCCGCTGCCTCCGTGCAAAGGGGAAAACACCGGATTTGTTCAGGGGTTGGGATCCTCGACGGGCTTTTATGTGACTGCTTGAAATGGAGATCCAGGGAACCACTCGAATCCTCAAGGGTGGGGATCCGCATGTGCCCCATGTCCATCTAATTGCAGTCCTCGCTGAGCCACCGCGCCCTGGCCCGCTCCACGTGCCTCTCCAGGGCCGCGGTGGCGTCTGTGCGCGCCTGGAGTCTCTCACTCCAAACGTGTCCTTTTTGGAGAACTGGCGCCAAACTGAAATCAAACCAAATGAGGTCAAGAGGTAAATGAGATGATTGGAACTGAGGTCATGAATGACTAAAACTGAGTTCTGAAACCAATGGAATCCATCGATTTTCAAGCAGAATTGGCCGGAAAAGGACACTGTGTAGGCGTCCTTGCTTTGCATGTGGCTGATAAGAGCCAAATGGCAAGTGTCTGATGTGCACGCCTCACAAGAACCAGGCTCCAATTGCTGCTTCCCCCAAGGTAGGCTTTCCGTGGTCATCAAAAGGCACCCCGCACGGAATGGGCTAAGACTACTTACGTGAAACCGACCGCGGCAAGGGTGCGACTCCCACTTCTCAAGAACTTCTCGTCGCGGTGGCTCCTCTACACAGGCCAATTTTCGTGTCCAAGCTTGGAGGTTCAAAAATCTCGTGCAACCGGTGACTACGGCATACACAAGACCGGCTCACACAAAGGCATGCCTTACAATCAACTTTGTGACGGGCAGCATGCTGCAGTCGCAACGGGTTGGACAGGCAAACAAGATCTGCAACGATAGTGAGAATAAGAACATTAGAGAAACAATATGTATATGAAATTCCTCGCTCCACTTCCGCGCCCTCCAACCCATGCGCACCTGGTCGACCGCAGCCATGGCACTGGTGAGCATAGCCATTACGATGACCTGAATCCCCGCGTTCCAACATGGCAAGAATCTAGCCCCATCGTTGCTAGATTCTTGCAACTGAGAGCGTCAAACAAAATAACCAACTGTCATTGTGCAGCAATGTGCAGTGCAGGATGCGTTTATTCAACTTTTCTGTCATGTTCGAAATGTTCTGAGTTGCGTGTATGCTTGCGGGTGGTAGCATGCCTTTCTGTTCTTGGCCGCAGGCTAGCTCTAAGCAACCTCTTTCTTGGCAGCAAGCCATGCAAATGAACGAGAAATCTATCAAGCCTGCTGCCGCATCAGGCTGGTTTATTGGCAAATGTCCACTGCTCAAACGTGGGCCACAAACCATACATGTTCCCATCGTCTCATTTTGTTGCTGAGGAATACCAGTGCATGGGACAAAACATGCGCAATGATATCCAGCATGTCTCAGCACAACTAATGCCACTAACTGCTGCCGAAACATACCCAAGTGAGCGCGACCAACTTGCCAACTGATGTGACTGCGCAATGGTATCAACACATTCTCGGGCTGAGGTTCCCTGCAGGGACTGAGCCGGAGCTTCAGAGCAGCTGAAGCAGCTGGGAGTTGCCCGCGCGTAAGTCGACCAGGAGCAGCTCAAAAGATGCACTGAACATCTTGGTAGATCAAGAAAATTGATCTGAAACATGTTGCTGCCAACGCCCTGGTTTGCCGATCGTCTACCGCTCCTGCTCGTGGCGATGAAAGCCATCATTCAGCAACCGTATGTATGGTAGTGGACACCGGCTCTGGCTACTCGTTGTTTGAGCCGAAGGTTGATCGACATGCCGCAATCCAGCCAAAGATCAAACCGTCGACTCCGGAAAAAGGCGGGGTTACTCTTCCCCCCTAAGAACATTGTCTAACCTGTTGTAGCCATGTGCTCCAAAACATCTGAGGGGCGATTTGGTCACACCGAAGACCAGCCATAAAGGTTGGACATAACTCGAACACATGTGAGTGCTAACTATCTAAGAGTGACGCTAATGCCCAAGTCCACGCCTGATTAGCACTGAGCTTGCAGGTGACTTCGGGGGGGGCCAGCCATGACTCTCTCTCCCCTCATTGGCAACTGTCGAGCAAGAATACTCATTTCAGCTGTCATTGGTGTTTAGTGGGTACTGTGTCTTTGGTGTTTAGTGGATACTCTTTTGGGCGCGATTCCCCCTAGGTTCCCGCTACGCCACCTCGCCCTCCACCCCAGCAGGGTGGCACTCGGAGGCGCGAGACAGCGATGAGCGATGGCAGCCTCGCAGCCGGCAGAGCGGATGGCACCTTATGCCTTTCATTGGCTGATCGAAATCATGCATGTTGAATCCCTGTTTATTAATATGGGGGTGTCCCTGCTTTTACTGGGGATCATGCCTTTTGGAGGGGAACACCCCCATATTCATGAACAGGTTTCTTAATCCGGGGTCAACAATAACAAAGTCGACCATCAGAACCCTGAAATATGGACTGGCTCACCACCACAGTTAGCCGTGCCTTTTTTCTCGGAGGCTGAGTGAGAAGGCTTTCGGCGGCAAGAGCCTGCAACCCAGCCCAAACAGCTCACTGCAGGAAGGGACGATGGTGAACGAAGTGCCAAACCTCGGTTCCGAGTCACCTCCAACACGCGGCTTCATCAGTTAGTGTCTTTCCGGGGTTCAAATGGAGAACCAACCCGCCCACTTGACTTCCTCAAAGGTAACAGCTACCACCAAATGCAAAAAACGTGCTCTCTTGCCTCATCAGCCTTCTCAGCATGCTCAGTTCCCTGTTGTCTCAACAAAATTGTCTTGTCCTCCTCCGTATGCAGGGGATGCTGGTATGCTGGTATGCTTGGCACGGCTGCTGACAGCTAATTTGCCCTTCCCCGTGGGCCAAGGAGCCACTCAGCCAAACACACACACACACACACTCACCACACACACACACACACACTCACACTCATACTCCCACTCACACACGCAAACAAACAAATCCGTCCACCTTGCTGAAAAGTTTCGATCCGCCCAATTGCATTTCCGCGACCTCAGATAGAGGGTGCTTTCTACCTCAGAACGGTCGCGTTTGCTTCTGAACAGCAACCCAGCAAGAACCTCCTTTTGGTTGCCCAACGGGGGCGAATCGAGTCGGGTCTTGTTGCTTCTGCTGACTCGAGTTGAGAAAGTTAGAACTTTATTTTTGGGCCTTTGCTAAAATCATTCCCACATCGAGAACAGCCAAAATGTGACAACCAAAAAAATGCCAACTCCGCCAAACAAATTGTTTTTCAGGTCTCACGGGGCCCAAACCGCTTGAGTGGCCCAGCTCGGCACTCGACTGGGCGCCGTTGAAAATTGAGCGCAAAGCATGCCAAGGAATTAAATCTCAGTTGCAACCAGTTTGGACCCAAGAATGAGAGGTGCTCACCTGTTGGTGCTAAGAATGGAAACCAAATTTGAGAAACCAAAAGGTTAAAAGGTCGAATCGCTTTGGGCAACTAAGTAATTAATTATCTCTTGTACACACGCCACTATGTGGGCCTGAGGTTGTCAGGTCTCGCAAGCCATTAGCCGACACTCCCAGACCGCCTTGGGGTATGAGTTATAGTTTGGCAGCGCACTCCAGGACACCGGTTTGCCGACGACGCGACTGGACAGCTCCAAGCTCAAGCCGAGTCTGACGTCTGACGTGCCGAGTCGACCGAAGCGGACCAAGTCACACTCCATGACTTTCGTCCTAGGCAGCTTCGGCGCCTTTCGGCGCGACCGATAGGTATCCTTTCTGCGTTTCCCTCTGCCCTCACATCCGGCAAAAAGGCGACTGGTCTGGAACACACGCATACAATGACACACCCATCACCCAGCATCTTCATGTGAGCAAACAGAGCAAGCCTCCTGCCCAGCAAGGCGTGAATGCACCGTGTTCAGAAACCAGCGCTTTTCCCCTCCACGTCAACCAGCAGTTTGGTGGAATCAAGATTATATAGGCGACTCGTGCCACCAAAGCGAGCGCCCCTTCAGTCAAGCTAAGGGAAACACGCAAGCCAGGGTGCCTTGCACCTTGGGGGGTTAAAGAAAAGCTGTTCTGCCCTGACAGCTCCAGCACAATGCAGCTTGTCGGTCCTTTCGATCAGCTCCTTCTGCCAAACTGCTGGAAGCCACCTGAGCATGTTGGCCATTGGTGTGAAGGCGTGGACAAAGCGTCTACCTGCGTGATCAAAACTCTACCTCTTACGTCCACGGGACCTGAAAATTGAAGACGCTTTTGGGACCCTGACTCATCGATCAGCACACGAATGGCAAAAGCACGAGAAGTCTTTCTTTGGACGGAGCCACATTTTACATAGGCTCACCTGGTTTCAGGAAATAAGAGAAGTGGCTTGTAGCCTGCTCAACGCTTGCAAGTTGAGAATCCCACTGACGGCTAAGCTATCCGACACGTCAGCTTCGATGAGCCCACTCTTCTCAAGACAAACCACCCAATGCTCGCATCCATCCTCCGTATCCTGGAAACTCCGGCTTTGAGGCAAATTGCTGATTCAACCCGTGAGCAATTACCTGGCTGCAGTCAGCCGTCAATGAACAAATCCCCTGGCAAGCATCGCTGCCGAGTCGCCAATTCACCAAGAAACCGGACTCCTTCCGATGATTCGCCGCCATGACAAAGCAGGCGTCGCCTAAGGAAATGATGTCAACAACAGGTAGTCATAGATATTGCCAGGCTTCAGATATGTCCTTTCCCCGCTATCTGTGTGGGCGACGAAATGGCTTCTTTGCTTCTGATGGATTCCTCTGGTTGCCGTCTGCGGTGATTGGCTCCGAGGAGGCAACCAAATCCACCGAGCTCAAGCCTGGCCAGTGGGACAAAAAAACCTGCTGACGGTGAGGGTTATTCATTGAAAGCGCAAGGCAAAAGGTGGGAAGCGCCATGGAAGCGCCTCTTTCACCTACTCCCAACCCCCGCACGCTGTGCACCTATGCTCCGGCCCCCCTAGATCAGCGCAGCAAAACGGTTGCTAGCATTTTACTGGCCAAAACAATCAGACAATCCGGACAGTTGCAAACTTGCGGACCTCCTCCAATAGTCGGCCTGGTTTCCCTTCAAAGCCAAAGAACTCCCAAATCTTCTTGACGCAACCCCTTTTGATGGCCTTTGCCTCAACCAAAAGGAAAGATTGGACGAATCGGACACCTTCCTTCTAAAATTTGCCTTTCCCTCCCACACCTTCCGTTCAACCCCGTTCCGAACCGTCCGAGGTGCGGGGCCCCAAGCTGGTGACGAACATGCCAGCACCCCAGGGCCAGTAGGTGTCCTTCAGCTCCTGTCGGTCCATCTGCCCGTGCTCCATGAACCCTGAGTGTTTCGGAACCTTCAGGAATCCAAAGATCGGAGAAAGTGCTGCCGCATTCATGTCCGAGATTGCATATCTGCCGGAGATGACCGCAAAGTGAATCACCACTCAGAAGCCTCGCTTTAGTGGCTGCTTTTTTGTGTGGTGTCTTTTGGCACCTAACCGCCGGCCAACCGTTGGGCTTGACCTTGCCTAAACCCTAAAGCGATAAGCCAACAGGCAACGGACGCTCCGTCCTGGGGCTTGCTGCTAACCATGGCCCGCAGGTTCTCGCAGGCGTGCGCGGCCTGCTCCTCCCCCGGGAAGGAGATCTGGCACGCGAGACGCGGAGCGCTCGGGGATCCTGCAAAATTTATCCCTGATGGGTCAAGTAAGCCCCCGGCAGGCAAGGTCACAAACAAAACCTGTGCTTTTAAAATTCCTTGACTCAGTCGTCAATCCCCAAAGGCTTCACGACCGTGAAGTCCACTTCTGACACGCGCCTTGGGCACCGGCGGCATGATCCAATCCGGCGGGCTGCCAATGCAGCCTGAGCCCCAGGAGCGGGAAGGTCAGCTAACGACGGGTGGATCCGGATTCAAAAGAAACACAAAGACTCTGCGGCAAATCTGCGGATCTTCTGCGAACGCATTCCACACTTTCCCAATTCCGCCAGATTCTCGGATTAGGTCTGAAACTCTCGGGAAATTCCGGCAAACTGGCTTTGCCTCCAAATAGGGTAGCCATGGGGGAACCAAAATGCCGTCTTTTCTCATGGCTTCCCTTAACAACCCCAGCGCCAGATACCGAGGGCCAAATCCGTTGGCCAAGAAGCCGTAGTTGCAGTCCCCAACCGCGAAGGCTCTGCCCTCAGCCCAGGTCTCCCCGATTTCTTGGCTCTCCAACGGCCGCCACGTTACCTGCCCGGCAGCCCGTGGCGCCCCCCACGGGGGACAGGGGGGTTAGAGGAGGGACATGGGGTGGGCAACGACCATAAAACAAGCCAAAATAAGGTGTGAGGCCAATTGCAACACTCAGGGGAACCCCAACAGTTCGGAACCATGTCACATGGGGTTTGAATTGGCATCCTTTCCCAAGTTTTGCTACCAGGCCCATAAACTTCTCTCGGACCTTTCAAAGTCTAGGCCTGCAGCTTCTGGTTGAAGTGGATCCACCCTCCTCCGCCTGACAAATCCAAAAGCAGCCGCCCCCCCTCAACTGCGTTAGAAGGCTTTCACTGGGTGAGTGCAACTCAAGGCCCCTTTGGCTCGTGCACGGGCAACAGCATCGTTGCAGTGCAGCATCAGGATCGGCAAAGGGAACACTGAGATTGGTGCCTTCACACGGCGATCAAACGATCCAACCGCCCTAACACCGCCCTTATCCCTGCTTTCCTCAAGAATAGTAAGGATGGATGAAACATTTCCCCAACAAAAGCCTTCACCCCCCCCCCCCCCAAAACAAAAAACAAAAAAACATGTCCCTTCTCCCAAATTCAGACTAGGATCCTTTTCGGTGGGAGGGCTGGGATCTGGCCGGAGCCCCTGCCTGGACCGCCGGTGCCTGGGCAAAGCTGAGAGGGGCCGAGGAGCCCCGAGCGACCCTGAAACATCCTGAGACCATCCGGGTAGCCTTCCGAAAGGGATCGTAACGTTGGCGTGTGCGTCTGCCAAGGAAAGTACGACACTTCCTCGTCTCCCTCGCTGCGATCATTGACGCGATCAGCACTCCCGCTCTGGTGGCTCGCGCAGTCCATGAGACAAACCCCGTTACGAGTCCAGTCTTGGAAGTGGACAGCCAAACCATCCTTCGCACTGCGGCGCTTTTTTTTGAAGAACAAATACTTCAAGGGTCTAAATCAGTAGAATGGGGTTGCGGGGACTTTCAAACCAAACTAAGTCATGCTCACCCGGGAAAGACTGTGAAGTTGGTCCGCCTCTTCTCATTTGGCCAACCTCACCGGGCGGCTCAGCGTATCCGGCGGCATGAAATAGTTCGAGGCCTTCACGCCGATGCAGACCTGGCGGCTCCCAAGGTGACTCCGAAGCGTCCGAAGCGCCACTCCCTCCGCCCAAAAATATGGTGGAACAGTTGCAAGACCTGAAACTCTGGAAGCTTATGGGATCTGGAGTGTGGCGAAATAAACCGTGAAACCAAAAGGTCAACTGGTCGACGTTGGAGCCAATGTACTTGTGCAACCTACCTCATTTGCCCATCGGGGCTTTCCACTGGTGCGTCCAAAACATCCCGCCGTCCAATTTTGATGCTCCTTTGCTCAGAACGGCAGAGGCAAATCGAAGGGACAGTTGTTCTTGCTTGCTCACTGGGACAGGCGGCACCAGTAAAAATCGCAGAATCCAGTAAGTTATGACTCGGGGTTCCGTTTTCACATGTTCTTCTGGAAGGACAGCTTCTTACGCAGATGTGTTGCTTCACGAAGGAAACCGCCCCAGGAAGCACAACGCCGAGGGAAGCCCTCAAGCACTCCGAGCGGCGAAGGTCCGATCCGCGTGCTCTGGAAGCCCGATGCGGTCCCAGAATGCCTGGTTCGCCTCAGCTCCGCGTCCCCGCCCGAAAATCCCAAACCAACACTGGACAAACACATACATTGTTTCAGGGACAAACACATATATCATATTATATATGTGGGCAAACTGACACCCATATATTATTTCAGCTGTGTTTACCTGTAAAAGCTTGGGGATTGCCCCCTTTCTTGAGCACAACTCATGGGGACACGTTGCTCAGGAAGTACGGAACCTATAGTCTCAAGGTGGAAGTTAAGCCTAACCTTTCGGGATCACTAAATGTCCCAGGTCCACTTAAAGCTTCTTGCTAAACAAAATCCCCAACGGTCTAAAGGTTGCTGCGCAGGTGAACGAGCGTCAAGAAGCGAAACAAAGACAGAAAGCATCATGAAAGGGACCCGTTCATCGCTTGAAGATCATGCAACGCATGCCAGCACATGCCAACAGCAAAACACCTGGGCCCATGGAACCCCCAACCCCCCGACTTCGAACAGCGCCAGGGTGCCTATTGCCTGACAGTGGCAACGCGTCACATGAGAGCCCTTTAGGTCATTTGGTTCCTGTTGTTGGAACCCCGCGGCTTTTGCCAGGGCACTGGCTCGTACTTGACATTGTAGTGCTGCCTTAGGCGGGCCCTTCCGGGCTGGACACTGCAATGGGAACCCTGGATGAATAAGCCTCGTCTTTGATGACTAGTGGGTGTGCCTCTTAGGGGAGATCCTGAAACCCCCAATTGATGGGGCCAGGGCCAACACTGCGGCTGCATGTGCCACACACACAGACACATCATTTGCAGCTCCTTCAGGGGTCGGCCAGTCAGGGGCGAAAATATACCCCAAATGTGCAACAAATGTGTTCGCTGTTCGTTTTGGCCCGCCTGACTCGGTTGGGTGTTAGATGGCCCTGAAACCAACTTCGCCTTCCCCGGCCAGGCATAGAGGAACGTCGCTGGTGGGATGCAAGCAAGCAGCTTGATCCCAACTTTGGTCCTCGGTCCAACGGCCAGCTACCAGGCAATTAAGCTTGTCACAGTGCGAGCGGAACCTCCACGTCACGCTGAAGTCAAAAACACAACATGCGCTGGAGAAGCCACCTAGCCAATCCAACTGCCACTTTAACGTACTCGTGTGTTCAACTGTCCGATTCCACTTGCCCCAGTGGCCTGGACCCACAAAGCAAGCTGAATTGCAGGGCCTGACCGAAACTTGGCAGAACAGACCTCCTCATGTGAGCGTTATTCTAAATCATTGTGCGGGCCAGAGACACTAACAAATTCCTTTCGAGAGGCCCTACGGGGGGCTTCCGCGGCTGCGAGGGTAGCTTACTCGAGCGGTGTCTACATAGCAATCGCCTACACGGCGCTTACACGGATTGAGTTTTTTTGTGGAAGTTGTTTTTAGTGTGTTTTCGCTTACGCGAACACGGCGAAACCGCAAAAGCAGAGGTTTTCAACGCGCGGAAGACAATCCGCGCAAGCTGTAGGACAACGCACGCCAACCGAGAGCTGCAGCAACCTCACGCCGAAGCCTGGAAGTAAGTTGGAATCATGGCTTGGGCTTGGGCGGCATGGCCCGGGCTGGCTGGAGCTGGGGCAAGGCACCCGGCCCTTACGCTGAGCTTGCGCGGAGCTTAATTATGCGGAGTTACGCGAATCTCGCCTGGCATTTTCAGATTCCGTGTGCATGTTGGCTGCTTCTTTGTTGCGCTACTTGTGAACTAGCTGCGCAATACAAGAGCCATGCCATGCTACATTAGCGCGCCACCGCACACGCAAATCTCGCAAGTTGAGGGAGCCGCAGCCATGCTAGCCGCAAAGCTTTCTAGATTGGACTCTGGCATTGTTCTGCATCATGTTTGCCACATTGACAAGGGACCATGCCACACCCTGTGTCTGTGCCCTTGTTACAGTAATGGAAACGCAACAACTTCGTACAAGGCATCCAAGGGGGCGGGGGCTGCGCGAACCTTCGCGATTGGGCAATTGGTGAAACCCTTCCACGAACCCTTACGGGGCCTTCCGCGACCAAAGCAAGAACAACATGTTCAAAACCACATTTCCTCACGAATACTACTCTCAATTGCAGAGGATTTAGAACGTCATGTGGCAAGGGAGTAAACTGGTCTTCAAAGGGTCTTGCACGTTGGCAGGATTGGCGGCAGGGCAGCTATGGTACTGGGCTCCAAAAATCAATGGCGTCCAAGCGACATGTACTGCTGGCAGTATTGGGCAGCGCTCTCCGGCAGAGGCCCCAAGGGCCGCGAAAGGAAGTCGACAATGGTGAGGTCCAGCTGGGGAAAATGGTGCCTCCGAATGTTGACAGGGAGGGGAAGGGAGGGGAGGGGAGGGAGGAGCGAAAACCAAATCCTGCGCGAGCTTTACGTGCTTGTTGTGGAGCCATGGGTATGAGAACAGGAATCCTTACATTATTCACCTGAACATTGCCTTGTAAATGGTGGTTTCCCTTTATTTTGGTGGAAAAAGCCATGTTTCAAATCTTTTAAGGAGCCCTGCATGCATTCCGAAAAAGCCTATCCAAACGAGGCCGTGCATCCTGCTGTCCCTACACAACGGACATGCGCCATAAATGAAAATCCATGGGGGCCGGAACATCAGAAAGCGCACTATCTTTGGGTGTGTTGCCCGATGGTTCCCTTAAAACACACACCCCAAAAGACAGAAGAGGGTTCCACCGCCAAACCACAGGAACCCAACTTGGCGCCCAAAAATCTGCGGAGGGCATGCTCGAGGCGCTGCAACTCCGTGACCCACTCCACGCCGATGAAACCAGCGCCCACCACCAGCACTGAGCCCTGCCTGGCCCCGGGTGCAGGGGATGCAAGATCCAAAAACCACTGGCACCAAGACAACATCAAATCTAAAGGAAGCCCCCCTGCTGGCCTACAGTTCCTGGGCTGTCCGAATTACGGAAACTTGCGGATCCCAAATAAGAGTAACTTTAGAAGGGAACCAATCAAATCTGAAAGGACCCAACAGTCTTCCGGGCTGGGGTCAGTCGCCAATTTTCTGGACTGGCCTTTGACTCTCTACAATGTGGATTAGTGCTGCGAAACCCACTTCTCAAAACGCCAAACAGTGAAGGCTTTAGCCAAGCAGCAGCCAAGATTTAGCAGGTTCCTCGAAAGAGCCTGGAAACTGGAAACGGTAAAGGAAACCCTCCAAAATCCGAACCCCGCCCCCCCTTACCGTCGAGAGGCTTATTCATCAACTCGGTTCCCATTATGACTCGGCCATTGCAAACCAAACGCCCGCGGCTTGACCGCTCCGCCGCTTGCCTTCCATTGAGCGCTGTGAGCTGTTGGTGCTCCTCCGTCAAACAAAAATGCCAGAGCGGTGCTTTGAATACCTTGATTGGGTCAAATCTGGCAGACCTCCAAGAGAACTGCACTTCGTGGGACTACGGTGGCCGAAAAAACAAAAACCATGCACCTTGCCCAATCGTGGCCTC